GTGATATTTAAACATGAGCCGTGAGAAGTCCATTTTTACATACAAGGTGTTTTTAGTTTCACGGCTTAGTTTAACGGCCGTGATTTTTGTAGCCAAAGCCGTGAGATTGTCTGGGATATAAAAACTACTCTTTGCTTCTCACGGGTCATGTCACGGCCGTGAGAATTTGCATTTTGGGTGAAATTTAATGGAAGCTGGGTGTTTTGGGTGAAATTTATATATGCCAATGGCGGATTTCATGGTTAATTAGTGTACTCAGGTGTTGATGTAGGGGGTTTTCAGTTCTTCTGGTAGTTAGAACTTGATATCGAGGCAAGTGTGCTTGTGAGCTCTGGTATAGTCTTGCATTTTTTCAATATTGATAAAAGCCATATATTGAAAACCAGGATTGAACTCATTACCTGGAGAATGTGTTTACCGAATGATTAAATGATCCTTTTCTTGAATGAAAATTTGTCATAACCACGTTTTATCGAATGTGTTTAAGTGTGAAAACTGAAAGTTGCTTCTTTAGATCAGTGGTGGACGACTCTGGCTTTGTGTATTTTGTTAGTACTCTTCGGCATGCTTATAATTCGTGTTTCAAGGCATGCTTATAATTTTTTTGTTGTTTTAATTTTGCAGTTTGCTAAAATTGTTCTATAATGAAGACGAAGAGTCATGAAATTTTTAGCACCCGCTGTTCTCCTAGGAAAGTATTCTCAGTAGTCTCAAATTTAGAGGCTTGTCAATCAGAGGCCATTAAGAGATGTGGCTTTGGTCGTATGCTTGAAGTCAAAGGAAGAATGCTCCAACGTGAGTTGTTGGAGATCCTTTTGAAGAGCTTTAATGTGGAAGAAAGCTCAATTCAGGCTTATGGGTTGAAAGTCCATATTTCGGCCAAAGATTTCGAGCGAATTATGGGCGTGCCTGAGGGAGGTACTGATATCATCTTGAATGGTGAAGAAGTGGGACGAAGATCCGAGGAATTGAATCCATTTAGAGTGTATTCGACAGTTGATTGTGCCCGACAGGCGATTTCGACAAGCTTAATGCGGAAGGCTTTGTCGGAGATGAAAGATAGCGGCGATCTATTTCTTCAAACGTTTATTTTGTACGTAATGGGGGTGCTATTAGTACCAACTAGAAGAGATGACTTTTCGTTATCTTCGGTATACGCTGTCCTCGATGTTGCCGATATTCCGAAGAAGAATTGGGCATCGTTTTGCTTCAATGAATTGGTCAAATGCATCTGCGACCATAATGCTGAGGGGAGAAAGTATATACCGGGTTGCTTGCTGTTCTTGGAGGTAAATAATTGCTAATCCCTACTTTCTACATATTTGTAATGATTAATCATCATGTTGATTATAGTATTTTTTTTTTTTGTAGTTAATATTCTTGGAGCATGCAAATGGTATTTTCGAAACTATTGATAGGAGTTTGGATTTGTTGAGCTGGGGGAGCAGAGACGTGGAGTTATTGTTAACAGAAGTGGTAAGACTGATTGTATATTTGATTCTTTTGACGAGTTGGAGCATGCTAATGGTACATTTGGTTCCCTTTTTAATTAATTTGTAGGTTTCCAGCAGTTCGGGTAAAAGATCAGCTGAGGATGTAGGTTTGAAATCACCTGCAAGAAAACGGGAAAAAAGAGATGGGAAACGGCAAAAACCCGACGGTGATGAGCTGCTTCTCTGTGAGCGTATTGACGCTCGGTTTACTACCGTGGAGGGTAGAATTGACAACTTTAGGCAAGAATTTAGAGTTGCAATGGGTGATGCTGCTTCCAGAGAGAATGAGCTAATGAGTCGGGTTGTGAATATGGAGAACGAATTTCGGGCTTTTAGAGACGAAATTGGTAGTCAAGTGAAGTCCATTATAGAGGCAGTGAAAGCAACTATAGGTCGGACCATCCACCGACAGATACATTTCCCATTTTGAGGCATTGGGTCGGCAGAATGCCCAAATTCTCGAGCAAAATGCACTCATTCTCTCCCGCCTCGATCGAGAAAAGGAAGCTCGACGCTACATCATCAAATGCAACCATCACATCATGAGGTCCTTGAGGATTGACTACAAAAAATTCTCAACACCTTGGGAACTATCTCCTAGGCCAACCGAGGAAAGCAATGAAGAGGGAAGTGAAGAGGACGACGAGGGCAACGACGATGAACAAAACAAGGAAATAAATCAAGAGGACAAAGGGACCGATGAGGAAGAGGGCAGTGAAGAGGACGACGAGGGAAATGGCGATGAACAAAACAAGGCAATAAATCAAGAGGACAAAGGGACCAATGAGGAAAAGGGAAGTGAAGAGGAGGACGACGAGGGCAACAACGATGAACAAAATAAGGAAACAAATCAAGAGGACAAAGGGACCAATGAGGAAGAGGGCAGTGAAGAGGAGGAAGAGGGCAGTGAAGAGGAAGACGAGGGCAATGGCGATGATCAAAACAAGGAAAGAAATCAAGAGGACAAAGGGACCAATGAGGAAAATGGCAGTGAAGAGGAGGACGACGAGGGCAAGGAAAGAAATCAAGAGGACAAAGGGACCAATGAGGAAAATGGCAGTGAAGAGGAGGACGACGAGGGCAATGGCAATGAACAAAACAAGGAAAGAAATCAAGAGGACAAAGAGACCAATGAGGAAGAGGGCAGTGAAGAGGACGACGAGGACAATGGCAATGAACAAAACAAGGAAAGAAATCAAGAGGACAAAGGGACCATTGAGGAAGAGGGCAGTGACTCTAGCGAGGACAATGAAGATGAGCAAATCCAGCAAAACGAAGACGAGGACGAGAGCACTGACGAGGAAGATGGGCAGTGAAGATGACCCAACAAAAGTCCTTAGTACTTACCTATGTGTGTTTGCGTTTGTGCTTGTATGTTTTCCAATTAGAATATGATGATGCACTAGTGTGGGCTACATGCAGCTAAACTTAAGCATTAATTAGACAGATTTAATCGTGTTATGGATGCTTGTTTTATTAGACAAATGTAATGCTTTGACTGCGTTTCACTTTTTGTTAACAGGGTATCTCATCTGATATGATGTACAGTTACTAGAGAACATTGTGAATGGATCTATGTAATGCTCGTGTCAAGGTTTAGAGAACATTATGAATAATCTTTTTCATAAGTTTGAAGTTCTGGAAAAAAGTCTATTCTGTTTGAAACACCATTATAATAAGTACACGGGATAGTTCAACAGGTGAAAGTCTCCTACTGGAAATCTGACACCTTATACTGGTAATCTCACGACCGTAAAATACTCAAGTTAGATGTAAAAACCAGTGCTTCATTCCTCAGGCAAATATCACGGCCGTGAGATGTCCCGTGAGATGCAAAGAGCAGTTCTCACTATCCCAGGAAATTTAATAAATCCCTTTATGGTACAACCCAAAATTGTACCTATACTAATGGTACAACTTTTATGGTACAACCCAAACTTGTACCTATACCATGGTACAACTTTAAGTTGTACCTACACTTTCTAACAAATCCCTTTATGGTACAACTAAAAATTGTACCTATACTAATGGTACAACCTTAAGTTGTACCTACACTTTCTAATAAATCCTTTTATGGTACAACCCAAACTTGTACCTATACGAATGGTACAAGTTTAATTTGTACCTACACTTTCTAAAAATCCTTCTATGGTACAACCCAAACTTGTACTTATACTATGGTACAACTTTAAGTTGTACCTACACTTTCTAATAAATCCCTTTATGGTACAACCCAAAATTGTACCTATACTAATGGTACAACCTTAAGTTGTACCTACACTTTCTCCAAATCCAGCTATGGTACAACCCAAACTTGTACCTATACCATGGTACAACTTTAAGTTGTACCTACACTTTCTAACAAATCTCTTTATGGTACAACTAAAAATTGTACCTATACTAATGGTACAACCTTAAGTTGTACCTACACTTTCTAACAAATCCCTTTATGGTACAACTAAAAATTGTACCTATACTAACGGTACAACCTTATGTTGTACCTACACTTTCTCAAAATTCTTTTATGGTACAACCCAAACTTGTACCTATACCATGGTACAACTTTAAGTTGTACCTACACTTTCTAACAAATCCCTTTATGGTACAACTCAAAATTGTACCTATACTAATGATACAACTTTAAATTGTACCTACACTTTCTAATAAATCTCTTTATGGTACAACTCAAATTTGTACCTATACTAATGGTACAACCTTAAGTTGTACCTACACTTTCTCAAAATCCTTCTATGGTACAACCTAAACTTGTACCTATACTATGGTACAACTTTAAGCTGTACCTACACTTCCTAAAAATTCTTCTATGGTACAACCCAAACTTGTACCTATACCATGGTACAACTTTAAGTTGTACCTACACTTTCTAACAAATCCCTTTATGGTACAACTCAAAATTGTACCTATACTAATGGTACAACCTTAAGTTGTACCTACACTTTTTCAAAATTCTTTTATGGTACAACCCGAACTTGTACCTATACCATGGTACAACTTTAAGTTGTACCTACACTTTCTAACAAATCCCTTTATGGTACAACTAAAAATTGTACCTATACTAATGGTACAACTTTAAGTTGTACCTACACTTTGTGAAACAAATTCTTCAATGGTACAGCTGAAACTTGTACCTATACTATATGGTACAACTCTAATTTGTACCTACACTTGTATACACTGATTCATTATTTACAAGATTGCCATTAATGATGTGGGACCAGTCATTTAGTGGGTTACCTCCTCAACAGGTCACCTTTTTTTTTTGTTTTTTATAGCATGGGTGCTATAGAGCACACTAGAAGGGCTCCTATCGCAAGCCTCGACAACAGAAATCGGTTCGGAACACGACTCTCTAGCTCGCTTGTCTTGGTGAGCAAGTTAGGTTTCACCTATATATATAAATGATATGACTTGCAAAATCGCTAGTGGAAGACTATAAGGTGGACCGAGTGCTGTTATATTCAGAGAATATACGACAGTGGGTAAGCCATGAACAACGACGGGGAGTTAGTGAAAGCTGGAAAAAGACATCGTGAAACTACTACTACTGATAGGCTAACCCATCTTCCAGAACCAATTCTTTATCACATCCTTTCGTTCCTCGACACCAAATGTGCTGTTCAGACCTCGGTGCTGTCGCGGGCTTGGAACCGCACCTGGAAACATGTTCCAGTCCTCAACTTAGACAGGGGTTCCTTCCATCTTGCCACGAAGTTCCACGCGTTTGTGACTAAAGTTTTGTCCCTCCGCTACGACCTTAAACTCCGCAAGGTTGTCTACTTCGACGGCGATGGAAGGCTCCCCGCAAAAGGTGGGAAAAGCAAGGCCAGCAGGATTCTGCAAGTCCTCGACTAGGCGCTGTCCCATAACGTCCAAGAGTTGGCCCTGCATCACAACGGGTATACGTATAACATCGACGAGTCGGACCGCAATTTCATCGTACCATCCTCGGACAACGAGGAGGAGAAGAAGAAGAAGAAGAGGAATGATCATCTGAAAACTCTAAACCTTTCCTCCTTCAATCTCGACCATGGGTTTGCGGCCGCCTGCTCTGGCTTCCGAATGCTGACCGCGTTGAGCCTGCGACGTTGCCGTTTGGATCCTTCGGATCTCGTTCTTTCCGAAAACAACTTTCCTTGCCTGAGAAATTTGCACGTGGATTTATGCTTTCCGAACTTGGCTCGCGAATATAAGATACATGGACCCCGATTGCGCAGCTTGAAATTGGAAGCGTCGCCGATCTGCAAGCTTGAGATATATGCACCGGAACTCAAAGTTTTCACACTTTGTGAATCCGTGAATATGATGGGCAAAACTTTCTTCAGTCCGGCCCTCCCTGCTCTGCATTGTGCGGATATCAAGTTAGAGGTTTTGGGCGGAGACAGTTTGGAGGAGATGGACAAGACAAGGATATGTCACTACCTGAACTCCTTGTTTCGGTGTGTGCAGAGTGCAAAAACTTTGACGTTGCGCGACTCTACTATTAAGGTATGCTTTGGACGACTTTATGAGAATGTTGTATATATATACACTATATACATATATATATATATATAGTAATGTTGCAGGTGTAGGTTTCCTCGAGAAGATAGTATTACCATGTTTCTTTTCTCGCTTTTCAAGTTGTGTTTTCTTTGTTGTTGTTGTTGTTGTTGCTGCTCCTGCAGATATTGAATTATATGTTTGAGATTCTGGAACAACATCCATCTCCTTTCAAGAGATTGGAGTGCCTGGCATTGTCGACAAATAAATTACGTGATCAAGTCGTCAATTACTTTATTAAAGCATCTTCGTGTGAGAAATGTTTGAAGCTAATCGATGAGTAACTTTAGAGAGAGGATGACTCGACAATAGGATACACACTTTTTTTCCGAATGGGAATGCACTATTTGATACTGTTGAAGAAACTTACTTTATGTTTGGGGAATGTTGTTAGTTGATCTATGAGCAACTGGTCTTTACTCTAGTTTAATTTGATTGGATAATGTTGATTTATATTCGAAGTCTAGACGAGTTGTATGAATTACTTACATATTCTTCCATTTGGTGATGAATATGCATTATGGTTAGAGGTGGCAAATGGATTGGATTCATTGATTAAGGATTGGATTGGTGGATCCATGTATTAAATGGATTGGTGGATTCATGGATTGGATCAAGTGGATTGGTGGATTATCCATGAACCCAAATGACATCCTCAATCTTGGACCAATATGTAAAATGTGAAGAGTTTAGGTACTAAAATGTCGTAACGAAAAATTTTAGGTACCAAAACGTAATTTTCCAATGATATTTTTCGCACAAAAAATTAAATTTTATGTACCGAAATGTAAAATATAAAAAGTATAGATACCAAACCATAATTTGTCATTTGGATCCATGGATTGATCCATGAATCCACCAATCCAATTGGTATTTGGATCAAATGGATTGGATTAGGTGGATATTTTTACTCTCAATGTCTAAATATGTGGGTCGTAAAGTTTGGGCCGAAACAATTGTGACCGCGCTCATGGGCCGCATCAATTTTCTGGTCTCCCAACAGCCCAAAACGGGATGGATCGCAAGCCTCAAATCGGTTCGGAATCACGTCTGTCTAGCTCGCGTGTCTTGGTGAGCAAGTTAGTTTTTTTTTACAGGAATTTGTTTTAGCTGGCTATGTATATATATATAACTGTAAATCGCTGGTGGAAGATTATTAGGTCAACCGAGTGCTGTTATTGAGAGAATTAATATACAACAGTGGTAAGCCATGAACAACGACGGCAGGTTGGTGAAAAGGCATCGTGACGAACAAGAACAGGAAGTAGAAAACAGGAGTGTTGGTAGTAGCACTACCGATAGGTTAACCCATCTGCCAAAACCCATTCTTTATCACATCCTTTCGTTCCTCGACACTAAATCGGCCGTTCAGACCTCTGTACTGTCGCTGGATTGGAACCGCGCCTGGAAACACGTCCCCGTCCTCAATTTCGACAGGACTTCCTTCCATCCAGCCGCGAAATTCGACAAGTTCGTGTCCAAGGTTTTGTCCCTCCGCTACGACCTTAAACTCCGCAAGGTTGTCTACTTGAGCAACGATGGAAGAGGCAAGGCCAGCAGGGCCCTGCAAGTCGTTGGCTATGCGTTGTCTCATAACGTAGAAGAGTTGACCCTGGACAGCATCAACAATCATTGTCGCGATTTCAGCATAATATTCTCGGACTACTGCGACGATAATGAGAAGAAGAAGACGAAGAGGAATGATGATCTGAAAACTCTAAACCTTTCCTGCTTCAAACTCGAGCGTGGGTTTGCGGCCTGCTCTGGTTTCCCAATGCTGACCACCTTGATCCTGCGAAGATGCTATTTGGATTCTTTGGATCTCGTTCTTTCCGACAACAACTTTCCTTGCTTGAGAAATTTGCACATGGATTCCTGCTATCCGAACCGGGCTCTCGGAAATAGGATCAAAGTACATGGGCCCCGATTGCGCAACTTGAAATTGGGGAGTTCGATCTGCCTGATTGAGATATATGCACCGGAACTCAAAGTTTTCACTCTTTGTAAAGAATCCATGATAAGCACAAGGTTCTGTAGTTCGCCCCTCCCTGCTCTGGAATGTGCGGATATCGAGTTAACCTTAAACCCTTCGGACAAGAAAATGGCCGGTCACTACTTGAGCTCCTTGTTCCGGTGTGTGCAGAGCGCAAAAACTTTGACGCTGCGTGGCTCTACCATTGAGGTATGCTCTCTGGACTTTATGGGAATGGTGTATATAGTATAGTGTTGTTACAGGTGCGGGGTTTCTTCGAGAAGATAGTACTATCCTATCTTCTTTTTTTTTCTCTCTCGCTTTTTAAGTTGTGTTTTGTTGTTGCAGACATTGAATAGTGTGTTCGAGCTTCTGGAACATCCATCTCCATTCCAAAGATTGGAGTGCCTGATTTTGTCGACAAATAAATTACTCGACAAAGTGGTCGATTACTTCTTTGGAGAATCTTCGTGTGAGAAATATGTGAAGTTGGTCAATGGATAACTCTTAGAGAGAGATCGCAAAATTGTTTAAAAAAAAACTATGAAGTTTGAGGTCGTTCCTTTGCTGGATGACTTGACAATGGGATGGGATACACTTTTTTAGAATGAGAATGCTCTATTTGATGTTGTTGAGGAAACTTACTTTGTGTTTGGCAAATGCTGTTGGTTCATTTTTATGTATCACATAATTGGGAGCAACTGATCTTTAGTACTCTAATTTAATTTGATTGGATCGATGCTGATTTATATTACGCTTACTTGAATATTCTTCCATTTGTCTTGGAATATGCATTATTGCTGTGATATGATCTATTATAGTACTTGTTTGACATTGTGTAAGATTTTATTTACGGAATATGAACAACCATTCCTCAGAAAATTGTACTGTTTAGTGAAACCTATGATGTATGATTCCTAATGTGCAAAACAGTTGCTAAATATTCAATAAGCAAGTTGTTCAAGAAACTATACCAAAACAAAACAAATAAAGTAGAATGCCGGGAAATCCCACCCTTCATGCACAAGAACTCTACCACAAAACGGCTGCTCTAATGGCTAAGGGCCAATTTTACTGCCACAACTGCTCAACGACAGATAAAATGGGCAGACTGCACAATAGTGTATTCCTCCAATGTCCCAGCGTAAGGTGTCGGCACATCCTGTGATGACAAACACATAATTGGAGCATCCAAACAGTCAATGGAGTTCTCGTTGATGGCCCTGGTTAAGCTAGCAGCAGTCCCTTTCGTTTTCCAGATTACAGATGTACTCTAGGTCTGGGATTCTTTCCTTGAGGTTGTAAAGCAGCACACTCTCAGAAAAGATCACCGGGTTCTCACTTCAGATAGCAGCTTTCATCAAGCCCTTTTGTATCGTAAGGAGTCGAGTACGCAACCATCTGGATTCCAGGGATGGACTAGAAGTACGATTCAAGGCCTTTGGCTACCTTGTGAGAACCACCATAGTGACCCACATCTTCACCCATGATACAAACCCGATTATCCCTCTATCCATATCTTTTGCTGACCTTCTCGTAGGGCCTCCAAAAGCAGAAGTTAATGCCTGGCATATAAATATTGAGATTAAGAATTTCATGAGACGAAAGTGCAAACTTAAACCGTCATAAGGTATGTAAAAGCAGATCCTATGATAGGCATGGCAAATGAAAGCAAGATATAGTGCATTATGCATCAGTTTTGGCATGCATTTGTTTTAGGTTGCACATGTCAGTCATCTATTTCTCTAATACACATTGCAAAATGTTCAAAAGGAAAAACCAGCAAAATCATATGGTCGGGTACTGGTGAATATGTTTCTATAACACTTCTCATAAATCACAATATACCACTAATGCACAGGTAATTTTTATCAAGCGAAGATTGCATGAACAGAAGCCTTCTTTCTGTAGTGTAACATACTTTCATCTGTTAGCCAATGTTTTCCCCAACATCACACCGAGGCAGGCAACTCACATGTTTATTACGCGGGGGCAGAAATGAAACGAACTCATGTTCATTTTTCTAGCATCAAATCTATTATAGTTTCAGCTTGCTTTTCCAGTTTCAAATCAATTCATCCAAAGGTAAACTAACTGTACAACCAAACAGCTATAAATGGTTGCAATTATTCACAATCTTACTTTCCTAAGTAGAAGCATACCCAAGTTTAGATGCATATGATGTAGCAGCAGCATTGGCCCCTAGCCTGGAAAAAACGGAGATAATGCATAAAACTTAAAGTTCAGTAGCTCAATTGGGCCAGACCATATTAGCTGCTAATGCAAAATGCCCAATCATTAAGACTTGCATAACTGGTTGAAATGAGGTGAAAAATTACCACAACAGCATTGGTGTAATTCCATCATTCATGCAAGTTCAATCCTCTGCAGTCTGCACCAACATTGTTAAAGCCTCAGGTTGTTAGAAATAAGTAGGAAGCAGTAGGAAGTCGACTAGAAGAGGGGTAAGCTTTGAAGAAAAGAAAAAAACAACGGGAGATCGCAAAATAGCTGATGTGAACATCTTTTCAAAAATCAACAATTGAGAGTTATTAAAATCACTCATCTTGAAATTTATCATCTTTCTAAACACATTATTGGACCGAAATACCAAAAAAAAAAAAAGGATTGTACTGAAATATCTCATCCAATTTCCAGTCCAAAACAGCTGTTCACGAGAATGGTAGGTTACTGCCTGAGCTCCTTGTTCCTGTGCGTGCAGAGTACAAAAACCTTGACGCTGCGTGGCTCTACCGTTGAGGTATGTGCTTGGTGTATGTAGTGTTAATTGCAGGTACCATCATGTCCCTTTTTTTTGTGGTTTTTAAGTTGTGCTGTGTTTTTTTTTTTTTTTTTTTTTTTTGCAGATATTGAATAATACGTTTGAGATTGTGGAACAACATCCATCTCCTTTCAACAGATTGGAGTCCTTGATTTTGTACACCAATCAAATACCCGACAAAGTCGTCAATTACTTCTCTGAAGGATCTTCATGTGAGGTGTGTTTGAAGTTGGTTGATGGTTAGCTCTGTAGAGAGGCCAGAAAATAGTAAAATGGTATGATGTTTGATGATTTAAGTTCGTTCCTTTGTTGGATGACTTGACAGTGGGATACACTTGTTTTCAGAATGGGAATGCACTATTTGATATTGTTGAGGAAACTTAATTTGTGTTAGGGGAATGTTGTTGGTTCATCCATATGTATCATTTACGGAATATAAACAACCATTACTCAGAAAATTGTTACTGTTTAGTGAAACCAATGATGTATGCTTTCCTGATGCACACACAACAGTTAACTGACAAACATCTCTTCAAGTCAAACTTGTTTGCTGAATATTCAATGAGCAAGCTGTTCAAGAAACTATACCAAAACAAAATACATAAAGTAGAAAGGCGGCATGAGAACTCTACCTCAACAACGGCTGCAGGCTGCTCTAATGGCTACGGGCCAATTTTACCAACATAACTGCTCAACTGCCGTTGCAATCTGGGCAGGCTGCGCAGTTGTTTATTCCTCCAATGACCCAGCGTAAGGTGTCGGCACATCCTGTGATGACAAACACATAATTGGGGCACCCAAATAGTCAATGAACTTCTCACTGATGGCCGCGTCAAGCTAGCAGCAATCCCTTTCATCCTCGTGCAGTCCTACACTACCAGCGCCTGATGCGTCTTCTTCATTGAGTTTCCGATCGTGTGAAGATTGAAAGGTTCCAAGGACCGATATCAATCACTTCAGGGTCATATCCCTTGTTCACCAAAGTCTTGGCAACCTGCATAAGATGATATCTCATTAGAGAGTAGGTCAAGATGGTGATATGTTCCCCTGGCCTAACCATCTCAGCTTCCTCCAGATCACAGATGTACTCTTCGTCAGGGATTCTTTCCTTTAGGTGGTAAGGCAGCACGTGCTCAAAAAGGATCACCGGGTTCTCACATCGCATAGCAGCTTGCATCAAGCCCTTTTGCATTGCCAGGTGTCCAGCATGCGATCATCTAAATTCCAGGGATGGACTGGAAGTAAGATTCAAACCCTTCGGTTACCTTGTAAGAACCTCCATAGTGACCCACATCTTCACCCATGATACAACCCCGATTATCCCTATCCATTTCTTCTCCTGACCCTTCTCATAGCGGCTCAAAAAGCAGAAGTTCATGCCTGGCGAGATAAAGAATTTCGTGAGACGAAAGTGGTAAACCTAAAGAGTCATAAGGGACGTAAAAGCAGATCCTATAATAGACAGGGCAAGTGAAAGCAAGATATGGTACAGCATGTATCAGTTTTGGCAGGCATTTGTTTTAGGTTGCACAATTTGTCAGTCATCTATTTCTCTGATACATATTGCAAAATGTTCAAAAAGAAAAACCAGCAAAATCATATGGCCAATGTTATAAACAGCATCACATTGATGCAGGCAACTCACAAGTTATTACTGGCGGCGGAAATTAGTCACCCTCATGTTCATTTTCTAGCACCAAAGCTGCAAAGCAATTCTAGTTTCAGCTTGCTTTTCCAGTCTCAAATCAATTCTCCAAACGGTAACTAACTGTACCACCAAACAGCTACAAATGGTTGCAATTATTCACAATCATACTTTCCTAAGAAGAAGCACACCCAGGTTTAGATGCACATGATGATGATGCAGCATTGGTCCCTATCCTGGAAAAAAAACGGAGACAATGCATAAAACTTAAAGGCCAGCAGCCCAATTAGGCCAAACCATATTAGCTGCTAATGCAAAATGCTCACTCATTAAGACTGACACAATTGGTTGAAATGAGGCAAACAATTACCGCAACAGCATTGGTAACTAATTGGTCAAGTCAGCCAGCTCCAGCATTAAAATAGAGCCCATGGTCAACTCCACACTGCCATCATATCACAGCATGACCAAGCTTGTATTCCTTCCTGAATCAAACAAAGCACCCTAACCAGGTTAGGAAATAAGCTTACTGTTTAAGACAAGAAGTTTGAATCCGACTTGGAAAAATACTTGTGAGATTGGTAAGTTTTAGGGAGAGTTTCTTGAGGGGTGATCTTTTAGAAGAAGATAGTGTCGCCTAAACTTACAAAATTTCCGTTCTTTTCCACTACTAAAGATAAGAAGAAAAAAATGCAGGACAGGGAAAGAAAGGAATCAGATTTGTTCACTAGAGCCAGCAAATGGCGGAGAATCCAGTGAACGGAACTGACAGACAGACAATAGCACGGCTGAAACTAGTAATTAGGTTCATCAATGGCTTTGGCTAAAAGCCACAACTGAACCGCCAAAAACCTTCAATTAAACCGCTGATTTAAGCACAATGAACTTGGGCATGCTGAACTGAAACATCTTCTGAGGTTAAGCAGAACCCAAGAGAAAGATTATTCCCATTTACAGACGGAGGTGTAGAATTCACTTTCTGAAAGTTAAATAAAAAATCCATTGCAATAGAAAAGAAGTTTGCCCCCAACCCCAAAAGAGAGCAATTCTCAAACACCTTCTTATTACGTCCGTACCTGGCCGCCCAACACAACTCATGGCTATTGAGAACGAATCAAATCAGATGGTTCTATTTCTCAATCTTGCTGACTTGTTCCTACGGAACCAAGAGGTCGAAAAGACTCAGAAAAATCGGTCATTCACAATGGATCAATGGACGGACCAACACATCCCAGTTTGAATTTCAAAAGTTGCTAGCCATTCAATTATACAATCACAAACTGTATCAGCTTCAGGTCGCAAATAAGTTGGCAGGCGCAAAATTAAGGATGAAAGAAAGGAGCAGGAGCAAAACCTGAGAAGGATCTCGGGGAGAGGAAAGAAGACGGAGCTTCTTGGAGTCGAGGGGATTTGAGGGATTAATTTGCTGCAGTAGCTCCCAATCCCTAGATACAGCCGCCATTCCGGGAATTTCACCGGCAACGGGTTTGGAAGAAGTTGAAGAAAATGTAGAGGGTGGCGCGGCGAGACTCCTCGCTCTTCCTGATCTCCGTGTTATCTCCTTGACCTCCGCTCTCATTGACACAATCCGCCGGCGGCGAGTTGGACGGCGGTGGCAGCGGTGGAGAGGGGGCTTACGGCCGTTCATATCGACGACTTGCTGAAGCCAGAAACAAATCGCTTCCGATCTTGTGGGGAGAAGGGAATTTGGTAGTTGACACGTCATCTTCTGCAACCGGGTAGTTAAAAAATATGGGCTCAATCTCTAAAGTCTCGACTCTTAACTATTTGGGCTGGATCAAATTGGGCGGCTCTTATGGGCTGGATCAAGATCTCTGGGCTCTCCCGGGAGTAGACCAGAACGACCCCTCCCTCAGCAATTCACAAGCGCGGGTAAAGCCCCCGCGCGAAAAGAAGAATCACGGACGAGCCTGCGTGATTTCCACTTACCAGTGGGCCGGTCCCACGTCATTTCTGGGTCGTTAAGATAGTCGTTATTAGGTAAACCGAACTGATCAAGAAGCCGTGACGTTGACGCGCTGACCCTGCAAATCTGCACCTAAGCACATTTACGCAAGCTTCTGTTTTCCCTTTTTTTTTTTTTTTAAGAACCGCGATGGCCGGCGGGGCGGATCGACACATTTTCGCAACTCTTTTTTTAAATATAATTAATTAATAATAAATGGAGCTGCGTTTAAACCTTTTTGCTTTCAACCAAAATTCTAAAAACTCGATCTAACGAACTTTCTACGGGAGAATTTGATCGCTTCCAGTCCTCCGCCTTCGCTAGCGAGGCCGCCGGGACGAAATCATGGCAGCGATGCTCCTCGCGAAGCCAGCATTGTGTGGATTCTGGCGCTGCCTGCTGCTGCTCTTCCTTGCGGTGGCGGCTCCGACGAGGATTTGCGAGTCCGCTAGATCTGACAAGGAAATGAGGGAGAGGTTCTACGGCAATTTGATCAATAACACCACTCCCGACAATGGAGAAGGGAGTATCGCCCAAATGTTCGATCGTGTTCTCGAGAAAGAGTTCTCCGAGAATGATAAGCCGGAAGGTTAGCCCGTCATCTTTGCCTTTTCGTTCTTTTCCATCCTGCACTCGTTCTTTCCACTTCAAGAAATAAGTATAGTTGTATGGAACTTCTTGAACCAATTAGGTTTTAGAATCTAGCATCGCTTGCGTTGATCTTGATTGTAAGGATAGAGGAAGCGGGCAGAATTAGTACCCTGCTTTCTTCTGCTTGCTGGATGAACCAGTGGAGATGAGGATAGCTGTAAAGGAAGGGTGAGAAGCGCCAGATTCAAGATGTGAAAATGAATGAATTCAATTATGGTTACTGATGAAATTGATGACAAATGAATTTGGTCTACTACAAGTAACTGTATCGATGGGGCTGTAGTCTGTTTTGTATTCTCTTCGAAGCACAGGATCTGTTGGCAGAAATGTAAATGGCGCAAGGCTGTTGTGAGGGCGCAGTAGTTACATGCCGAAGTTCTGAGCTCTAGAGGTCTTATATGTCATTTAACTCTGAAGTCAAGTAGTTTAGATCTTGGCGTTATTGTATTGCGTACACCCTGCCAGGTGAAGATTCATGCCGACGAATGCATAGAATGATGCAGTGAAGAAAGAAAGGTTGTAATTTAGTATGTGTGATGATTGCCAGTGTAGGGAATCATGCTGCTTTCTTGCATCTTGTGTGTGACATGAGTTTATATCCTGTCCTGTGACAGAGTTACATATTCCTGTCCGTCATTTGATAAAAATTCTTCCCCATTGATGTTTCTGTAGTGAGATGTTTAACCTTTTTTCACTATTTGTATAGGTTCTGATAGAATGATGCAGTGAAGAAAGAAAGGTTGTAATTTAGTATGTGTGGGGAATCATGCTGCTTTCTTGCATCTTGTGTGTGACATGAGTTTATATCCTGTCCTGTGACAGAGTTACATATTCCTGTCCGTCATTTGATAAAAATTCTTCCCCATTGATGTTTCTGTAGTGAGATGTTTAACCTTTTTTCACTATTTGTATAGGTTCTGATGGAAGCAACTTCAACAACAGTGTAAATGACCAACAGGTAGGGTTGTACTTCTAATTACGGGAAACAAAGCTGGGATATTTTTCTGTACATAATCAGATAATCACTGGTTAATGAAGGAAATGGGGCTGTTTCTGGAAAAAAAATTATCTAATTTTGCGACTTCAACTTGGGAGAATATTGTGACAAGCTTCACCTTCCATATCTGTCACACACCTTATATAGACCTTAATTATACTCTTTACTTTTTTCAGCTTTTATACTCTATTTGCTGTTTCACATAGTAATTTTAAATCTTGTCATTAACTCCTTTACCGGTGGATCTAAGTTTTTTCAATGCATTCACGACGAATCTTGCTAATAATTTTCAGGCTGTGTTGGAAACGGTCGCCAAAGTTACTCATGAGAAGGGAAAGAAAAATGACTCACAGCCAGGAAGGTGCGGAAATATGTCAAAAAATACTTGCCATGAAAGTTCTTTTACTATGAAAAACAAAGCGAGACACTGTTTCTGGGAAAACTAATTTCAGGTGCATTTTTGTCCCTCATTCCAACTGTTATCAGCGGACCAAGATCGTTTCAGTTACAAGATGTATTTTCACTAGAGAATGAGGATTCAGAGGATACTACCCTAATTGACAAAAAGGTTTCTGCAACATAGTCTGAAATTTTCTGGTTCAAACTTTGTAGGCAGATATGGAGTTCTTAGGTGCATTATTAATGCAGAAACTTTTTGCAATTGTGTCTGATTGCTTGCAGGACAATGTCTTTGTCATGTCAAATAAGAAATCCAAATACCCAGTGCTTCAAGTCGATTTGAGGTGCATATCCTTTCAGGGATCACTTCATATTGAGTAATTGTCACTTGTTATTGACATATTCAAATCCAAGTTTTGATGTTTTATGCTACTTTTCCCCTTTCCAACAGATTAATTTCTGATCTGGTGGTTGTCATAGTTTCTGCTGCTATTGGTGGAATTATCTTCTCGTGTTTGGGACAGCCGGTTAGGATTCATATTTGTTGCTCCATTCTTTGGTTCACTGCTTGTGAGTTTAGGTTGCTATTTTGCAATGACTGATGAACGCTGATGTCTTATGTCTTGTAGATTATTGTGGGTTATCTTCTTGCTGGGTCAATCATTGGACCTGGAGGTCTTAAGTTCATCAGTGAGATGGTGCAGGTAATATATCATCTATATTACAGAGGTCGTCCAGTTTTCTACTCTATGTCATTAAACACTTGCAGGAGTTTAACTTTTGACATGGATGCTTTCCTCCATTGCAGGTCGAAACCTTTGCCCAGTTTGGTGTTATCTTTCTACTTTTTGCTCTAGGCCTCGAGTTTTCTATAACAAAGGTAGGTTAAAATGGTCTTGAAGGCCTTAAGCTGGCTGTTCTTTATGCCGTTTCTTGTTTGCGAAGTTTATATTAATCAATTGGTGATACAGTTAAGGGTGGTGGGTGCTGTTGCCGTGTTTGGAGGTTTTCTTCAAATTGTGATATTTATGTTCTTGTCCGGCGTAACTGCCATGGTATGTTCCTTGCCCCATAAGTGTAGCTTGCAGCCACTCTTGTTGTTAAAATAGTGCTAATTACATCTGCCAATTTTGTAGCTGTGTGGAGCACAGTTGTCTGTGGGTGTTTTTGTTGGGTCCTTCTTGTCAATGTCATCAACAGCAGTGGTACTCTTTATTTCTAGCTTTCTAATCAGTGCTGATTCCTATTAGTTTCTTGTATGTTAACCAATGTTGCTTGTGACCCACTTTTCTGCATTTACGCCAACTAGGTGGTGAAATTCTTAGCTGAGCGTAACGGCACTAATTCACTTCATGGTCAAATTACAGTGGGGACCCTTATTCTTCAGGTTCTATTTCCTTATTCGTTGTGCTTAGAGCATCTAATATAAAACAGATTTTGTAGCTCATACATATGAATCTCCCAGGATTGTGCTATTGGATTGTTGTTTGCTTTACTCCCAGTGTTGGGTGGCAGCAGTGGGTTACTACATGGAATGATTTCAATGGGAAAATTGTATGTCATCCTATGCTTATTCGTTTTTTCTTTGCTAATTAGTGTCTGGCTACTTTTGCAAGCTTGATCCCCGACGTACACTAACTCTATGTTGTTTAGGTTGTTGGTATTGTCCATGTTCCTCACTGCTGCATCGTTTTTGTCTTGGTCTTTTGTTCCTCGCTTTCTGAAGCTAATGATCCAGATATCATCTCAAGTGAGTGTCCTGTCTTTCCGTGCAGGCTAGCCTTCTATTTGACTGGTTTTCTTAATGCACATTTATTCATCTTCCATGCAGACAAATGAACTTTATCAGCTTGCTGCTGTAGCCTTCTGTTTGCTATCTGCTTGGGTGAGTTCAAATGTCTTCCGCTTTCCCTCATAAAAGCATTCTTCACATGATGCATAATGGTTCATCAGTTTACTTGAATGTTTGATGGTTGTCTGATCTTGCAGCAGTCGTTTATTTCTCATAGTAGTCTTGGGTTGCTTGTTCCCTTTTCTGTCTCATGATACAAATTGTTGCATTAGTATTGTTCAAGATTTCAATAACATGCTTGGGAAAGGAGTGTTACTACCTTTATATGAGCTTAATGAAGTTATCTTCAATCTTCTGACCTTCTGAACCAGAGCAGTCATTCTTTACAGCTGAATTATTTTGACCAATACATGTCATATTGTCTTACCTATTGACTTGTCATAGTTGCTACTGATTGTTCTGTAAAACTGAAAATGTGTGCGTCAATATGGAATGACAAAAATTCTGGTTTCTACTTAAAGATTAAATGCACAACATCTTCTTGTTCGAATATGTACCCTCATTAATAACAATTGTCCCTTTTTACCATCTTCAGTGCAGTGACAAATTAGGCCTCAGTCTTGAGTTAGGTTCATTTGTAGCTGGAGTCATGATATCCACAACTGACCTTGCGCAGCATACTTTAGACCAGGTACTTTCCTTTCATTATTGAATTCCAGCTTTTCCTAACTTTAATTCTGAGGGTTCTGTTGACAAGATCTTGATTTGAACTAGTCTTTGTTACTTTGACCTTCTATAGTTGGATAGTTTCAATATCTTTTGCCTTCAGTTGCTTGTTTGGGTACGAGTGATTTAGATTTGTAAGCTCGTGATGCTTATCCAAGTAAGTACTAGCTTTTTTATGCTAACTTGTACTTGTCACTTTCACATTTCTTGAATGAAAATCCTTGTTCGAAATTGCTAGGGATGTTGCTCTTAGTTAGGTTTATCATTAATGGAAACTGATGATTCCATTTGCAAATTCTCTTTTTCTCTTTTTCTTGGGAGTTATTGTTCACGTTGTAGCATTGAGAATGACCCAGTGGAGATACTTCTCCTTTCCTGTTTATATAGGTGGAGCCCATTCGTAATCTGTTTGCCGCACTGTTTCTAGCAAGTATTGGAATGCTTATACACGTGCATTTTCTGTGGAATCACGTTGATATACTGCTAGCATCAGTGATTATGGTTGTAGTTGTGAAGACAGCCGTTACTGCTGTGGTGATTAAAACCTTTGGATATAGCATCAGGACATCGTTTCATGTGAGTTGGCTTCTAAAATATCATAGATGCTAACGAGTACTGAAGTCTCTCAAATTCATTCGTTTTTGCTGAAAAAAGAATTTCATGTTTTCTGGCGTAGGTTGGCGTGTTGCTTGCTCAAATTGGGGAGTTTGCTTTTGTTCTGCTTAGTCGTGCCTCAACTCTTAACCTTGTTGAGGTTGAGTCTCGCTCTCCCGATCGCTTTGTCTCTCTCATGTCCCGTGAACTTGCTATTCCTGATTGCAACATGTTTATGGTGATGCAGGGAAAGATGTACCTTCTCCTTCTTGGAACAACCGCTTTAAGTCTGGTTTGTTTCTTCTACTTCCATTGTTGGTATTATTAGTTGTGCCATAATTCTATGTAAAACAGTGATCAACTGAACCTTTCTCATTCAGGTTACAACACCTCTCCTGTTCAAATTGATACCTAATGTCATGAACCTCGGAGTCCTTTTGCAATGGTTTCCATCAGAAAGCGCGCCAAATGAGGTGATAACCTTTCTTCCTCTGTCGTTGTTGCTTGTCAGCCTCATCATGTTGTTCACTTTGCCACTACTGCAAAATCTTGAGCTGAAAATGTCTTTACATGTACGGTTCAGGAGAAGGTTTCGATGATCGAAGCACATAACAGACTGTTGTGACCTTCCCGTATCATAATACCTCAGGAAAAGCATCCCATTTCTCTACATGATTGACGAATCGTTCTGCCTCGGCGTGAGTTTTTCAGATGACATAGTACAAATCAAAATTGCATACAGTCCAGCTTGATGATACAGATATGTCTAACGTAAATACGCGTAACACAACGAGCTGCTCGCATTCTTTGAATGGGTTTGTATATATAATTTTGCCGTCGTAGCATATGCTGTAACTTAGACCATAACTAACTACTAGCTCTAGGGAAACTACTTCACTTATTGGCATGTAATCGGTTCCTGAGAGCATGCTGCTCCAGTACCAAAAGAGAGAAAAGCTCTCAGATTCTTTTCTTAATCGCAAAAGTTTATGCACTACATTAATTCGCATTCTTTGATTAGTCACTTTGAGAGTGTATTGGATTACACGTGGCGTACACGTGGACGCTAATTTAAGTCCATTGTTATGCCACATCAGCAACGCAGATACTGGTAAAAAGTTGTTAAGGATTACTTGGCAAGAGTGGTATTGTGATTAAGACTTAAAGTTGGAGTTTTAAGATTTACACCTTGGCCTGGTAGCCTTTTCTGCTTATATGGGCTTTGAACCAATCTCGGAGGAATCCTTAGTGGGCCGGCTCAAATTCCATTCTATTGGCTTTCAAATTCGCATACATAAGCCCATAGGCCATAACACAGCCAAAAAAATTGCGCGCTTCTCCCAGACTTCGTAAAGGTTCTCTAGATTCTAGAAGCAGCGTGGACCAGTTGCAGCGTATTAGCGTAAACCTGACGTCGCCATCGGGAATCGTCGGAGAAGCTGCGAAAACAGTCCGGGTCCGAAGGGCGACGGAGCTTCAGCGATCGGGAGCTCATTCTCCGGTAGTTCTCGACTTCCACTACTCGGCTTCAGCTACGCGGAGACTTTCAATGGCGGACGGCAGGCTGCGGTGCCAGCGAATTGGCTGCGACGCCACCTTCACCGAAGAGGACAATCCCGAAGGCTCGTGTCAGTATCATGACTCGGTGAGCCGCCCGTTTTTACTACTTCTTAGTTGAATTGATAACGCTCTTCGCATTCCTGCAGATACTGCTTTGAATTTAGGATTGTTTCTCATTCCAATTCCTCATCTCTTTTGCTCGTTAGGTTAATTAGGAAGCCTTGTAGCGAGACTTTGATATAGATAATTTTGTTCTAGATGTTCATTCAATCGTAATGCTACCGGGTGGAATCTTCTGGTTGTGCCGATTGGAGTTCGATATTGTTGAAGAACTATTCTCATCATTGCCTAATTTGAATTGTCAATTGTGGAATCCGTCAAGTCGATTTGTCATTGTTGCTATCTCTTGAAGTAGCTTTGTTGGAATCTTGTGCAGCTTGTACAAGTTGTGGTTTAGTGACATTGATTTTGCTATGACGTCCCTAACGAGTTGTAGTGATTGTTTCTTTTCGTTGCATGGTTCAACTGGATTTGGATGGCGTCTTGGTCTCTGCATCAGGGGGTAAGTTGCTGTTATTACTTGGGCTCTATTGCTAGAAACTTTTTTAATTCTTCATCGTCAATCCTATATGTTTTTCATTACATACTGTGAACCTGTTAGCTGATTTTGATGTTTCCACAGCCCATGTTTCATGATGGAATGAAAGAGTGGAGTTGTTGCAAAAAGAAAAGCCATGATTTCAGCTTATTCTTGGAAATTCCAGGGTAAGTTTCTGTGCACTCTTCCTCTCTATTAAGAATTTGTTGAGTGAAGATTTTGGGATCGAACTTGTGTGATCCTAATTTATAAGGGCCAGCAGGGAGATGATTTAATGCTTAGCTCCTAGGCTGTCTTGCTGAAGATACGTTCTGCTTTTGTTGTCCTAAAAAAAGAATAGGAATCATCAGGGCTCATTCCTTTGTTGAGTGGATTGTTTCTCTCTATAATGAAAAACTGTTTACACAGGTATATATGTATTATGTGCTAACCAATAATTTCTCCGGTAAAGATGTAAGACAGGTAAACACACTACCGAGAAGCCAGTTTTGGCAAAGGTGAATTCAACTCCAAAGGCCCCTGTCTCTAAACCCTCTGTGCCTTCTGCAACAAGTGCACCCTCCAGAGAAGTTTGTCCTAGGTGCAAGCAGGGTTTCTTTTGCTCTGATCATGGTAATTTTCGCTCTCTTCTTTCAGCCATTATACTTGAACTATTTACTTTCCGGGAAGCATGTGTGGTTGGTTAGATCAATTGTAGGAAAGAATTGCTAGTACTCAGGCATTAGGTTCCTGCATCCATCTTTCTTTATGAAAAGGACAAAATATATATTTATGTGTTGGAGGTAATGTAATTTTGATAATATCTATGAACAATCGATACATGAAGAGAAAGACAGCGTGAACACACTATATCTAAGGCTTTCATTGTTAGGATACTCTAGTTGTTTGCAACACAGCATTCAACCACAATATTTAACCTATAATATACCACATTCTCCTGTTGTGTCTCCCTTTCAAGTTTTCTGTCACAATGGGGGATGACATGTTACTAAAGAGAGGACCAATTACATGAAACTGCCTGAGCTTTCCGGGTCTGTAGGTATACTGTTTGATTTATTGTAGAATGTCGTCGCAAGCAGAAATGGTTTTCCGTTGGTGATTTTGGTTTGTTCGTATCATTCTGCTTGTTGTCTCTAATTGCTGAATCATGCCTTTTTTCTACTTAGGTTCACAACCTAAAGAAGATGCTGCACCAGCTAAAAGTACTGCAGAGACTCAAGTTTCCGCTCCTCCAGCTAAGAAGAAAATCAACATCAACGAGCCCCAAACTTGCAGAAACTCCGGGTGCGGTCAAACTTTCAAGGAAATAAACAACCATGATACTGCCTGTACCTACCATCCAGGGCCTGCTGTTTTTCATGACAGGATAAGAGGGGTGCGTTTACCATGTGTGTTTTAAGGTTCTTATCGCCGTCTCGTACTTAAATCCCATCATATGTGCATTTTATTTTTCGCAGTGGAAGTGTTGTGATATCCACGTGAAGGAGTTCGATGAATTCATGAGCATTCCTCCATGCACCAAAGGATGGCACAATGCTAATCCAACTTCTTGATCTCGAAGAACACCTCAGCAACGACAAGTTAGTGTCTTCATCTTTCCTTCACCTTCGATGTCTGCGATAACAAAAATCTGCTACTTTGTTCTCGTTTGTCACATCTCCAACAGACTATCACTGTCTATCATGCGTCGTAGAGTGACTCGAGTGCTTCCATTCTTGCTGAGCAATTCAACTTTGTGGCCGATTGTGTCAACGCTAATGTAGTCAATGACAGTTGATGGATCTTTTTTCTTCTTCTTCTTCTTCTATTTCCCTTGGAAAGAAAATTACATAGAAGGTTTAGTTGGTCCTTGACTCGCAAGGCTCGCTGGGCAACGGCCCATTTATGATTACCGGGCTGCTGCAACAGCCCAAGGTCTCCTCCACTGGTGTTTTAGACTAGTGGTAATGCTCAACACTTTAAACATCTTCGATTTCGTGATAGATATCTAATGAAATTAGAAAAGTGGATTATGTCAATTACTCATTCTTAAACCAGGATTATTAAAGACAAAAAAAAAGAGGGTGGATGGAATCTCTTTCATTCTTTATTTTCCTCTAGTTGGATCCTCCGAAACCACAAGAATCGTTGGTCGTAATAGATTTCCAACCTGGCACTTCTTGAGAAGAGTTGCTCTTTGAAGAGCACAATATGATGAAAGTTGTAAGCCACATTCGGCTTAGAGTTATTATCGTTATTATCTCAGTTGGCCTCTACAGTAGAATCAGTCGGTAGTCCAAAAAGCAGTGATATATCTTTATCTTGTGGCGGATGTCAGCGGTTCTAATCCGCTTATGTGTACCACCGTATTAAGAATCAACGAACCTTCTCACACGAGTCCAACTACCCTAGCTTGAGAGCTACTCGAAACGTAGGGTTTAGGGTAGTGGCACAAAAGAAGTATTGTAGGGTGTGGAGTGTGTCGAGTGTTGACCACCGTCTTCAATCTTTACTCTCAATCTAGTCTTACATGCTTTCTTCCTTCGTGACCTAGTAACTAGCTAACCTTCTCGATGCCATACACAATCACAAACAGGGCCAAATCATGTAACTGTGTTTGGTTCCCTGCAACGCAGAAGGGAAAATTGGAGTCGCATTAAATGGTGTAATGCAGATTGAACTGGAATAAGGTGAGGCAATAATATACCAAGGGACAAAATAAGAGAAAGCGCCAACACCACCATTTATTGAAGAGAGCCTTGCAAAAGAAGATTAGGGTATTAGCCATCACGGGTCCTATGATGGGTGCAATTAATCCTCTCTCTCTCTCTCTCTCTCTCTCTCTCTCCATTGAATGTTCTTCTTTCTCTGTCCCTAAAACAGAACTGCTGTGGGGTAAACCCTACCCTTTCCTCAACTTCCCTTGCCTGCCCAAATGAACCAAAATGAGCAGTTGTGTGTCCTTTTGGGAGGGTACCCACCCCCACTGTTTTGGGGCTCTTGCTCTCTATTGTTAGTTTTGTTTTGAGGCAACAAGCCAACAACTGAACCAAACCTTTCTTTCTCCTTATCGGGCAGTTTGTGTGTCTTGTGTGGTTACATTTTACTCGACTTCGGCTAAGGCAAAAATAACTTAGGGGTTGTTTGGATGCATCATTTTGGTTCTATGGTATTTCGAATCCAAATGATGCATTATTTTGCTATGTGGTATTTCATGTGGTATTTCATTTAGAAATGTGGTAATTGGTGTAATTGTCTTGTTTGGATAAAACATTCAAATATTGTGGTATTTCACCACTTAAAGAAGGGATGAAGTGGAAAAAGAAGTTGGGAGATGGGGTATTTGAAATAACTAGGGGGTGGGTAGGTAGGTATTTCAAATAACTCACAATGAGTTATTTCAATTGACTCATGGACAAAATACCATATTCTACTTTATTTTTGCCAAACGAGTTATTTTGATTGAAATACCTCATTCTTAGTTATTTCGACCAAATTACCTCATCAAAATACTGCATGCAAACAACCCGTTACCCTTTTTCTACACTTGGTGGGACTTGGGAGGAGGGAGAGGAGGGAGACCATTCTAGTATTTTTAACCTTTTTCTGTTTGTTTCATATCGTCGGTTGGAAATGGAAACTGGGCTGGAGTCGTCCTTCCACGTGGCGCGTCTCCATTAGAGAGTAGGTAGAGACAAAAAAAAAAGAAAAAAAGCAAACTCAGAAGATGGTGAAGAAAGAATTCTGAGATTAGAATCTCATTAGCAAAGCAAAGCAATCATTACTTTGTTATCAATCTTTCCCCTCTTTCTCGATAATCATTCATCCGTACTTCAGTTCGATTAATCAGTTTTCATTAGGTGATGATGATAAAATATGATTAGTCCTTCGCTTGTGGGCTCCTTGAACTATCTAATGCTAATTGTTAATGAGACATATTTATCTGCCTTGTCGCTTAGGACAAAAGGAATGGAATAGAATGAATTTTATCATTTCAGAGTTAAGGTTCTCTTTAAATAACACAATAATGTATGGTGATTTGGATGTGGGAATTAAAAGTTGTGGAACTTAAGTTCAAACTTCACACATTTTGTCATGGAGGGCTTGTCTACCTCCCAATATTAACAATTGTCGGTTGGTTTAAATACAATGATTGGACCTGTGAAAACTTCTAATCCCGCGAGTTGCTTTTTTGCTTGAGGAGACGTGTAAGAGAATGTGATATAGAATCCATAATTAACCTACTTCCAATAACTCGGAATTATTGAAACCAACTTATATTTGACCAGTTTGGGCACAAAACATGGGAATTACAAATGTAACATGGAATTTGGACCTATATCTTAATTCTCCTATTATTTTTTTAAAAAAAGTCAAACATGACTTCATAAAGTACATGATGAGTATATGAAACTTAATCTAGATCCCACATGTTACATTATCGATTTCAAATAAAATTACACAGGGGTGTGCAACGGGTTGGTTCCTATCAAAACAAATTGACACTTGGACCAGACCATATCGCACCGAATATAACGTGGTTTGATCATCGATCCCGTGAATTTTATAAATACCGAAAAAGACGGAAGTAACTTTTGAACCGGATCAAATTGGACCAAAAGCGAACCAAATACAATATTGGTCCGATGTTTAATTCTAAAATTTCATTCATTATCGAACCACGATTCTTCTTACTTAAATCTGATTCGGACTTCGAACCAGATCGGGCCGTTATAAACAATTCTCTTGATCAGAACTCTCCTGGCACATTAGTGACATAATATTATTGATTAATTTTATTAATTGAACCATCCGGGAGAAAATAAAAACGTGATAATTCACATAGATTAATAAAATGGTTTACTCTCGTGGGGCCCACAGGGTAAAAAAAAATCTGTTCCTGGGGGGGGAAAACCGGTGGGACCCACAATCCCTGCCGGAGGAGTCACGCGAGCCGACTCTACGTACCCCAAAAAAAAAAAAAAAAAATTGTTTTAGCTGCAGGCTGCTGACGGCTACTCTCCGGCGGAGAACTCGCCGGTCCCCCTTCCCCTCTGTTTCACCTTTTTATTTCCCCTCCTCCTTTCAACGGCAGGGGAAGCTTTGAAATCTGCTTTCGGCTTTATGGCCAAATTTCAACTGCTAAAAACATGTAAAACAATAATAACAATAGTCCTGCGCGAGACGACGACTGATGCCTCTGTTTCCTTTCTTCTCTCTGCTGTACCTCTTCTGGTCCTGCAGTAAAAGTCAGCCGTCTATTCCCCTCCCGTCAAATCGATGGTTCGTGATGGAGCCACGTGGCTCTGGATCTTGTCTGTGTGAGGGGATTTCTGGATACGGTGGTGGTGGTCGGACTGAGACGTGGCATAATACTGGGGATAATGCTGGTGTTTATTATAAAGAGCCTCCCAACCGACCCTCGGTTAAACCGAAGAAGCTCTCAGTTCAGGTCAGGGCAGGTCAGCCAGAAATTAAAGATGTTTTTGCTTTTTATCAGGGAAATTTACTTTACCTGAAAACTCTCGTATTTTTTTAACAGTTTTACAGGTTTACGGCTGCCTTTTTGTTCTGAGTTTAGCTTATCCCCGACAACCCACCGGCCACCGGAAAAGTTTTTACTCCATTGCTACATTGTCTCTCTTTATACGATACAAATTGGCCCATAATTTCTTCCATTCTTTCCATTCTAAAGCTCGAATTTCGGATTGAGGCGGAGGAAGCTTCCGCGCGGCTTGTTGAATAGGGTTACGGACTTAATTGTTGAAAATAACTTGGATTCCCGAAAATGGGGGTTTCAACCACATAGATTTGCTCCATCCTTCCTGGTTGATAAATTTATCAATTGACAAGTCAATCCTTGATTTTTTTTTTAATAAGGGTGATATAGGTTTTTTGTTTTTTCCAATTAGATGCTACTTAAGAAAATCTAACCAGGAACCTAAGGTTTTAAAACCAGTTATATTATCACTAGACCAAGTTCTTAGTAAGTAGGTTGAATCTCTTCATGGTAGGGAATGACGTGGAGCACCACATGGGATAAATGACGTGGTACTCCCGGAGTAGGCAATAATCTCTAGTTTAAGTGAACTCTCTAGGCTATGTTAGAACTTAGGAGGCAAAGAGGCCCCTTTCCTAACTTCCCCTACCGTTTAACAATGTATTTATTGTGAACCTGAAATCAAGGCTGTGGTTCTACTTCCCAATTCCAAAAACCAACATTGTAAAAACTAGATTACTGTGCTATGGTTAATTCCTTTTTAGTTTTACCGTGGCGCACAGAAAAGGATGTGGTGCGTTGAAAGAGATAGTCCGGTGAAAATGAAATTCACCCTACCCACCCACCCACCCACCCAATTGCCCAAACCCAACTGTTGTCTTTGTGCGAGAGAACTCAGAACTTGGAGAAGGGGATACTGCAGAACAAGCTGCAACGATCGGACGGCTGGGGAAGTTTCTAGGATGACAAAAGTATTCGTAATTGTGGATATTTGTTCGAATTTAACTTAATCGGGTAGGGTAAAATTAGAATTTGAAGGACTTTTAGTGGGTATGGGTAAAACCGAACCCAAATATTGCGGGTAATGGGTGTGCATGGTTTACTCACTCTCCAACCCGAACCCTCCTAATATACACATGTATATGTATTTTGTCTATAAATAATCATTATTTTGATCTTACATATTTTATATTTAGCATAAAATACAATATTTTCATAAAATACAATATTTGTTTTCAGTCTAGTGAATTGCTGTCGTACTTTTCCTCCTATGTAATGTGAGAATACGCGTGAATGTTAACATATTGGTTGTAGTTATAAAGAGAAATTATTACAGATAACCATGGATAACCGAAATCTGAACGAGTATGAGCGTGGTTTTGATTTTCTACCCGTTTCTTATGTGAGTATGGGTAAAACTCGAACTACTTTAGATAAGGTAACGAACATGCACTATCTACCCCGACCCATTACTATCCTATTTCTACCCACTCTCTCTGAAGACTGAACCATCTGATCAACAAAACCCCC